AGTAAAAGCAAGACAATCTTTATGGGATAGAGGGAGTATATGATTGCACACTCAAAATTTACCTAATCTACTCTCATTGACTAATAGCTCCGACTGAAAATTTCAATTTACAAGTGAGCACTTAACAAGCATGTAGTATCCAATGGAGCGTCCATGGATTTTATTATCAACTTGATGAATTAATTTCATGATATAAGGCTTTCCTATTAAAACGGGTTGTTCAAAAGGATTTCCCGACCTGTCAATAAATATTCTGCTTTTTCGTAGGTGCTCGGGTTCAAATATCCATCGAGTCTATATCATCGCGAAACAATAGCCGCATCCACATTTACTCGACAATTCATTTGGTTACTTCATGGTTGCCAAAGAAGCCCCAAGAAGCATCGAACATTTCCGATGAGATCCATGGAGTAATTCTTAGATAGCAAGCCGTAGCTCCCGGTGCGACTTCATAGAAAGCAAGCAAAGAGAAAATCGAAATAATGAAATGTACAGAGTGGTTATTATAAAGGTTTCTTTTGCTCCTAGAAAATGTTTGAAAAACATGCTACGGAACTACAGAGCACCAATGTTCTAAAATGTCAGCAAGTTTTACATTACCCGCATATGCTCAATGCATTTACAAAACGCCTCAAACATAGGTTATGATGTGATAATGCCATTTCGTTGACTGCATATGCACGCTTAAACGTCAAAATGTGCACACACTTGCATTAATAATTATGTCAAAATTAGCCCAAGGAACCCCAACTCATTTTTATAACTTTCAAAAAAAAAAAAAAAAAGTAAATTGAGCCTAACAAATATCAAATTAACTCAAATCACCCAAACCTATGTATTACATAAAACAATCTGTAGGGTTATGATGTTTAAAAAATCAAAAATCAAAACAATTTTTTCGTAGAATGGCAAACTATCTACACTGAGTCTGAGTCTCCGTCTTCTTTGGTCTCTCTAGTTTTATTAGCAAGCAATGCTAGCAATAAACAAATCTTGGATTATTGATGGTTGTGATGATGTAGAGGAGATTAATAATGGCATCTTACCTTTTACAAGAGGCAATGCAAATTCTTGAGTTAAAATAAGCGAACCTGATGAAAATGATTTTACATTGGATGACATGGAAGATGATTTGGATGAAGATGAGTTTGAATTGAAATTCAATAAAGAGTTAGACAATATTTAGAATTTTTTTATGTCTCGTAGAAATTGATTACTAAGTAATTGTGATATTTATGATTTTGAGCATTATATTTTTGTTAAAAATTTAAAGAATATGCATAAAGTTCGAGTAATTGTAGTTTTTATGATTTTGGACAATAATTTTTTTTTTTTTAAATATGAAGAATATGTATAAAGTTAAAAGAATGCATTATTTTATTTTTTTAGTTTAAAATAATATTAAAAATGAAAAAAAAAAAACGCTTAGTTACGCACATACTTCACATAGGAACACGTATTCATGTAATGCTTAATGCTCGATCGAAATGCATTGT